GTTGATGCGGGTACAAGTGTAGCAAACATCAATGCCCTAACTGTGCATCTCAGTGATAAGTGGAAAGTCAAGCTGATGGAAGACAATCAGGCCACGATCACTATCCTGCAGCAGGGACACTCACAGAAGCTAAGGCACACGGATAGGACCCAACGCATTAGCTTTAGATGGCTCCAGGAGCAATTCGTGAATAGGCAGTTCGAACTAATCAATGTTGACACTACCCTCCAAGCTGCAGACATCTTGACCAAGGCGTTTGACAGCACCCCGGTGTGGCACCACGCACTTGAGCTGATCGGTATCTCCCCCAGTCGCCAGGCGCGAGCCTGTGCCACCAGTTTGCTGCTCTCCCCATGCGCCAAGGCCGGAGAAGTTAGCGATCAGGGGGGGCAGATCGCTGCGTTATGCAACGTTCAGCCCAAGCGCCTCCTTATTGAATTCTGTTGTTCGACGACCTCACGGTTGGGCGAATCAAGAGACTCTTCAAAAGGTTGCCGTGTCATTCGGGTAACGGAAACCGAAGACGGGTGCTCCGATACGTGCAGGCAGTGGTTAGGCCGTGAAATCGCCGAATTCAGGAGCAAGAATCCTAAGGGCGCAATCATGTTCTACGTCTCGTTGCCATGCACTGGAGGTTGCCCGTGGGGTTATGTCAACCAGCAAACTCCCAAAGGTGCTGCCAAGATTGAGGGCCACATCAAGCAATTCCGATCACTGTTGAGAGGGTTCAAACGCATTCTCAATGATGTTTATTCAAATGACATTAGAGTTGCCTTCGAACTCCCCAAGGCGTGTCGTTATTGGAAATGGCCTGAACTATGGAGTTTCTTAACTAAGTACAAGATGAACAAGTATGAATTCCATGGTTGCAAAATCGGCATTAAAGGGAGAAATGGAAAACCAATGAAAAAGCAATGGGTCGTTGCCAGTAATATGCCCACTATTTCCGTTGTTGAGTACTTCAAATGTGATGGTTCTCACGAGCATGATGAAAGCCGTGGCACTCACCTGAAGGAAGCCGAGGGATACACGTACATTTACACTGATGCCGTTCACAATGCATTTTCCGAACATGCCACCATGCAGCCGTTGCTTTCGAGTAATTGTGCTGCATCGTTTTCGCAATGAGCGGCCCAACGGCTATGGCGCATCCCGCGAGGGATTGCGATCCGGCATGGAGGCGGTGGATGGAGAATGTTGCTACCACATCGGTATGCACGAACGGCAAGTACGACGTTAACCTCGCCGCTACGGTCAAGGGCCTCCTGGAGACGACCTCTGCACAGTCGCTTATCCATACATGGGTGCAGGACCAACCGCATTATTTGCAGTTGCTTACACCCCTGTTAACTATAAGCGAACCTTATTTGAAGGTTGTGCAGGCTCCACGTGTACCAGATCGCGACCTCCTTATCTATTTGACTGTCGCTGACTCAGGACTGTCAATGGTTTCGGGCAAGAAGAAGAAGCTCCGCAAATATGATTTTGCAGAACGCTTGGATGCTTCTCGCCCGGCGCGTGTCGGTGCATGGAGGTCAGAAATGCTTTGGGGCAAAGGCCTGCAACAGCTTTGCAAGCGCATGGCCGCCCTTATCGACGAGGTGCGCACGGACTACCCGACGGCGACCATCGTTCCGATGATTTATTGGAACGGCAATGAGCTTGTTGGGAAGGACGGCATTGAGCCCAGCGGTACCTACCCGTTCGACCACCCCGCCGGCGAGGCCAGTCAGTTGCTGGCAGACACCAAGAGGCACCTGGCTTGGACCAGGGATTTCGCGGCCCGCAAGGGCTGCGCATGCCTTGGAGTCATGACCGGCGCGAAAAGCTATCTCTACGGCTTCTCTATGATTTGGGACCGTTACATGACGGAAGTCCGGGATTACATCATCGGCGACCCCAATCATATGTTCGTGTACGTAGATGCCACACCCTCTGTCGAGACTATCGATTTGCTGGACAGGTATCATATGTGCTTCAGTGATGACAACATTACGAAGACCGTCCAGTTCATGCGCGGAACCCATCACATGTTGTATATGCTTTCTATCTCGCGCCCCGCAATGGGCAGCGTGGCCGAGCTGACACGTTCGCACGACTGTACCGTGCGTCCGATCGATGTGCTCGAGGTGCGCCACCAAGAAGATTGCACAGTCAACGTTGAGGTTCTCGCGTACTGCAAGGAGACGCTAACGAAGTGCGGTGTTTCTTTGTCAGAGATGATCGGGCTCCCTTTCACCCGTGAAGAAGTGGAAGTCCGGCAGCCTCTCGATTTCGCCCCCGTCAACCCAGCCGAGTTTGCAACTTCAGGTGAGCCTTCCGGTGCAGATGTTTCCGAAAGTGTTCGCCCGGCGCAAGCCGGTGCAAAGGCGGCTGCGGTGGCAAAGAGGGACGAGGCGGCGAGCAGGCCGGTACCACTCGACTCCTACGGGAGGAGCGTGACTGGGGGCCACTATGACTGCTGGGTGTATAGCATTCATGATGGCGTGAAGTATGTCGACTACGGCGAGGGCCCCAAGACACTCGACATCATCAAGCAGCCCTCTTTCGATTATGACCCTTCCGTCAGGAGAATCAGTGACGAATACCACCGTTCCCTGACGTGCATCTCCAAGATCCTCCGTGGTCGTGGAACAGAAGGATGCGGGTATGTGATGGATAAGGACGGCTACATGGACCTCGAAGACCTGGGACTCGCGCTTCGCAAGGAGCTGCGACATCCCATTCCATGGAATATCCAGAATATCATGGACATCTTCAAGCTGGACAAGAAGCAGAGGTTCATTGGCCTTGGTTGCCCGGACGCAAGCCGGTGCGGAGACGTCCCATGTTCTCATTGGCTTTTCAAGCTGAAGGCCTCTCAAGGCCATGAGGACTGGCTTCAGATCGACGACTCCGGCATTGCGAAGGAGTGGTACGTGAACCCGGGGACTGACCTCGGGCGCTGGCCTGGCTGGAACGTTTGCAGCAACCCTCCAACTGTGCTTTATCACCGCACTGATAAGCGAAATTTCGCTAATATCATGCGGAACGGACTACTGCCAGGCGGAGGGGACCAGCACGAGACAGGCCGACCTCACGTTTTCTTCGCTGACGTCCCCAGCACGAATGAAAACCACATATCAGGTGTACGTGCGAACAAACCCCTGGAAATACAGATCGACCTCAGGATGGCCATTCGCGCAGGGCTTTGCTTTTTCAAGACGGAGAGCGATGGCGTCCTCACGCGCGACAAGGTGCCCAACTACACGATTATTTCTGTATTGGACGCTACAAATGGCGATGTATGGTACACTCGCTCCGAGCAATCGGATGCAGGTGCACCAGCTGAGGCGACTGAGGATGAACCCCAGGGAATGAAGCGCGACCAAGCTGTGGCTGATGATCGTTCAACAGCGCTGGAACGTATTGCTACGACGCGCACAAATGTGGCCTCTCCTCGCGCCCCGCAAGGGGAAGCGAAGAGACAGAAGACTTTCAACCCAATGGAGAACGTTGAGCTGAATGTCGCCACGTGCCCGGTTTGCAACAACAGTGTCTTCGAGGGGCAGGTGCACTGCTCATCATGTGGGCAGTTGTCTCCCCTCAATCCACGCCTGTTGAAAGAGCAACAGAAGTTTTACATCGTGCAGCGTTCCAATCTGTTGAAGAAGATGGGCCTCAGCACCCACGTCACAGCTCAGGTCCTGGCATCTGTGGGAACATTTGACCTTCGCGAGGAGGATCGTAGCAGCATCATTCGTGGCTTGAACTCCCCGGACAGTGCTGTCATTCAGGAGGCACGGAAGAAGCTCAAGTCCGCCCTGAAGAACGGCTACCACTCTCTGCTGGACCGCTATGAACTCGACCTTCAATACAGGGTTCGTATGCTTGAGGTGGGCCGTCGGGAGGCGGACATGCTCCGCATGGAGTTGGGCGCAAATCTCGTCTTGGCTGCTCCAAAGCAGTCGCAGGCCCAGCGCACTCTGGGAGTTGGCCTTGGATCAACTTCGGAGTCGCGAATCGCAAGGCTCGCGTATATCAAGACAGAGTTGGAGTTCCTGCCCAACGAACTCCAAGATGCGCTTTCCTCTCGCTGTATCATAATGTTCCAAGGGATGCCTTATAGCCCGAGAGCTTTCATCAACGTGGTTTTTGAGCAAGACAGGCCTCGCAGCATCGGTTGTTGGAATGGCATCATCCATCTGCGAGGCAACACGTTGGACGACCTCCGCAACGAGATGGACTGGATTTTCAGCCAGAATGAGCGGTATGCACGTAACTCGATTGAATTTTCGAGGAAAGAAAGCAGCAAGCACCTTGCTCGCAATGCAGCCCGCTATGCCGAGACGAGCGCTCCCGCCGCCCGCGAGGGTGTGCGTTGGAGCCGTGGCAGCTGGCAGAACTGGTCCGAATGGAGCGGATGGGGTGACAGTAGCGGTAGCTATTCGACTTGGCAGCGGCGCTGAAAGCGCAACTGTCATGGTTTGCATGAAACAATGGTTCCCCTGACCTTCTCCCTCTGTTGTGTTTCTGTTTGGCTGCTTTGTGAAAGGCCCCTTTAACACGCAGAGGGGGGTGAAGAATTTTGATCGGTCAATATGGGGTTTTACATCCATTGCATCCGCAGTGTGGCTGTTCAAGCGTGAAAATGTGCGAGCAGCGCACTTGGACGGTTTGTTGTTTCCTTTTGGGCCCCAAACCGGTAACCCTTGAATCTATAGATACTGTAAAGGTGGGCAACAAAGGGGAACCCAGGAATCAACTATGTTTTGAGCCATGGCACACGTATCAAGTGGCGGAGTCTGAGACAAGAAGTCTTTGCTTGTGAGCGACCAACACTTTTTTGATAGTTGTCGATTGCACCCGAATTCCGCACAGAATCCAAGGGGGTCTGCCCAATTTTCCATGGGCTTGGTTGTAAGGGTGCCTCCTTTTTGGGGCTGGCTTGGAGGGAAACTAATAGGAACCGATTGTGGGGCAGCCCACATTTTTTTTTGTGGATCACATGCTGACGCAAGGCTTGCCTCAAGGTGGAAGACATGGACGCCGTGCGGCAGGAGAGTGCTATCTCCGGATGAGGGATAAGAGGTGGTTCTCGGCCGTGCTCGACTTGGTGCTGACCACCTCAACAATGTTGGCTTTGCTTTTGGTGTCTATTTAAAGCCCCCTCCCCCCCAAAAAAGGGCATCCTCAAACAAGCACACCTAGCTAGACCCAAGATTTTTGACAGTGACCGGATTTTCATCAGGGTCTAATGATGTGGAGGTTTCTCAAAATTGGGACCCCCCCCCTTTTTTGATGGTTTTACATGGAAACCAAAGCAAAACCAATGATTTGCGGGGGTATGCCTTTGGTTCCTGGCCAGCCGCTCACAGCTCAGGTATGACCAAGTGGGCCGACCGAAGCAACATGGAGCCCAAAAGGGGCCCCTCGAGATGGTCATGAAGCCAGGCAAAAAGCACACATCAAGCTGAGGCAATTGGTATCCAGCATCCACACGAGCGCTTGTACAATTCTAAGCATGGAAGATGAGGGGTGCATCAAGAGTATCATGCCTTTGATGGTACAACATATTATATACATATATATATATATATGTATATTATGTATATTGTATACGTAAAACACAGATACCATGAGTAGAAATGTGATATGTATACTTCACATATATATATATGGTCACCCCCCCCTGCATGACCTACCGTTGTCTTTCAAAAAGTCGTTGGGGACCATTAGCAGACAAGAAAAAAGTGAAAAAACACATGTTTTTTATGGTTTTTGATTAAGAAACAACACAGTCAACCATTGAACAATTAAGAAAAACCAGTGTGTTTTGATGGTTTTAGCAAAAAATGTGCAAAAACCCATGTTTTTTTAGAAAAAAACAGGAAAGCATTCAAAAAAACAAGTGTAAAAACTGATATGTTTTTCAGATAGATCCCTAAGTCAAAAACTAAGAATTCCCTGGGTTTTTGATGGTTTTGCAGTAAAACCTTCAGAATTCCTTGGGTTTTTAGCATTTTTCACATAAAACCAAGAACACCTCGAGAAAACCAAGAATCCAAGAATCCAAGATTTTCAGGTAGATGTTTGGTCCACTACAAAATCTTGGATTCTTGGTTTTCTCGAGGTTTTCTTGGTTTTCTTGGTTTTACTTGGGAATTCTTGGATTTCCAGCAAAAAACCAAGAATTACTAGGGTTTTTTTGGATTTCCAGCAAAAAACCAAGATTTACTAGGGTTTGTTTGGATTTCCAGCAAAAAACCAAGAATTACTAGGGTTTTTTTGGATTTCCAGCAAAAAACCAAGATTTACTAGGGTTTGTTTGGATTTCCAGCAAAAAACCAAGAATTACTAGGGTTTTTTTTGGATTTCCAGCAAAAAACCAAGATTTACTAGGGTTTTTTTTGGATTTCCAGCAAAAAACCAAGATTTACCAGGGTTTTTTTGGATTTCCAGCAAAAAACCAAGAATTCCCAAGTAAAACAAGGAAAACCAAAAAAACCTCGAGAAAACCAAGAATCCAAGATTTTGTCGTGGGCCAGACATCTACATGAAAATCTTGGATTCTTGGATTCTTGGTTTTCTCGAGGTTTTCTTGGTTTTCTTGATTTTACTTGGGAATTCTTGGATTTCCAGCAAAAAACCAAGAATTACCAGGGTTTTTTTGGATTTCCAGCAAAAAACCAAGATTTACTAGGGTTTTTTTTTTCCAGCAAAAAACCAAGAATTCCCAAGTAAAACAAGGAAAACCAAGAAAACCTCGAGAAAACCAAGAATCCAAGATTTTGTCGTGGGCCAGACATCTAACACAACAGAAATACCAGCACCAACTGAAGACGAAGAAGAAGAACCACAAAAAGATAATTTTGAAAAATTGAAATCTTAATAATAGCATATATAATGGGTATTGGTAAAAGTAAAAATAATGAAAATAATAGTTTGGAAGACATTAAGAATTTAAGTATAGATGAAAAAACACGAGCAGACACTTTAATTATTAAATCTCTTCAAGAATGTGTGACACGAATTGAGAAACTAGAGAAAGAAAAATCTGACAAATTAATATATAAACTTCCTGCCTTACAATTTTGCAATGCTTCGTTAATTTAAATTAATAATATTAACATATAATAATATTATTGATTGCTATCATAATCTGTCATTTTATCCTCTGGTATTGTTGTTGAAGTAGTACTACTTATATCATCTATTAAATCTTCTTCATCAACAAAATTATTTTGACATCTTAATAATTCCTCGTCTGTTGCCCTTCTTTTCAATACTTTATAAAGTTTATGTATCCAAGAATTAGTATGAAAAATACAATTACCTCTACGATAAAATCCACCACATCTACATAGGTTCATTGGCATATTACTATATTATATTAAATTATAATATCTTTATTCATCATTCGTAATTTGAAATGCCTGTTCAAATCTGATATGAAACATTTTGTTAATGTCTTTAGCATTCATATTCACGTAGAAGAAACTATAAGGTGTGTCATTAACGGCTTGATGATACATATCTAATAATTGCTGTTTATCAACAATGGCGCTATTTTCTTCAATAAAACTCATTAACTCACTTGCATTTTTCAACCTAATGAACTGGCATTTAAACGAATGATAGGCACTAAAACATTATATTTTGTGTTGAACCAATTACACTTACTGCATCGTGCCTGCCTCTTGTAAAAAGTCCGTGTAATAATTTACTATATCTAACAAATTTAGGATTGTCTGCGTGGTCATCTACGACGATAAATATTGAATGCGTGGTCATCTATAACGATTAATATTGAATGTAGTTTCTTTATCTTTTTAGACTTCATATAATTAATTATTTTCTTCTGTCTTTCAATTACATTTTCTAAATCACTTGGATTATAATTAGCAAAATAAATTTGTTCTTTTTCATCATCCACGTGCAATTCATCCCTGATGTATTTTTTAACTTCTGTAAAAGTTGGGTCATTATGAACGCTGGGGGAAAATATAAATATTCCTGCAAATGAATTTCTATAAACATTCAAGATAAGGGTTTGGACTAAAACTGTTTTGCCTCCCGTCGATGAAGCAACTATAATACTTCTAAATGGTAATTTTAGCACGTGCTCATATGTGGATTGTTTGAATTCATATTCAGTTATGTTTATTGGTTTTATTATTGGGACATCTGTCATAGTTGATATTAAAGAAATATAGAAAATTATATTTAAAAAAACTTGTCATTAATATTAAATGGAACATCATTATGTTATGAGTGGCGGTGAATAACATAATGGAACAGGTTTTCCATTGCTTCAATCAATAAGCATTGAAGATAATTAGTTTTGTGTTTTGCTCGCGTGTGCAATGAAAACCAAGTGCTGTGCCGGGCAAATGATAGATGAGATCCTGCTTTTTTTAGCTAAAAGGTAGGTCATGCAGGGGGGGGTGAGCATATATATATATATATGTATATATATATATATTATATTCACAGACCAGGGTTTCTTGGCCTCAGATTGCATGGCTTGATTACTCGCTTGGGATCTCGGGCAGATGGCCGCCATGGCTTGGGATCTCGGGCGCGCGGCGGCGTTGGCGCCTTGATTTTGTATGGAGCGCCAAGAGCGAGCCACATGGGAAGAGCCTGTTGGGAGCCCTAGATAAAACCATCCCCTTTTGGTTTGCATCGAATCCAAAGATGGCAGGTTCCCTATTTTGATAGAGGTCAGGACCATTGGCCGTATCCCCAGCAGAAGGTGGACATACGGGTGGTTTTGTGGGGTCATGGAATAAAGGGCCCATGAAAAACTATGGTAGTCGGGACGATTTCCAAAATCTGGCATCGGGTCTCTGAAACAATAGTCGGGCTTTGTTAAATATCCACTTGGATGTTCGCATTGGGTAGGCACATGGAAGCTTGAGTGACTTGCAGGTGGACAATAATTGAGCAATTCGAATTGAAACCCTCAAGAGATCTGCAAACTGTTTGGTTTGCTTCTGGCTTCTGATTGAACACCCGAAAAATGGGGTTCGCATTTCTAACTTTTAGGATACAGTGTGAAATCACCTGCCTCAGGCTGGGGATGCAGTGCAAACATGTTGTCGGAGTATGGTGTCTGTTTGTTTTTTTTTTCGATGGCTTGCTTGGTGGTGCGCAGGTCTGTGAGTCAGACCAGTCTGTGACTCTATGAGTCTGTACGTCTGTGAGTCTGTGGGTCTACCTGCCTTCGAGTTTCTTCGTCACAGTTAGTCTCTCTGTCTGTTTGCTCGTCAGTCAGTGAGTGCTTCAGTCTGGCAGTCAGTGAGTCAGTCGGTCCGTCAGTTTGTCAGCAATCTGTCAGTCTGCGAGTTTGTCTTTCGGAAAGTCCGCCAGTCAGTCTGTCAGACTTCCCCAGATGGCTTTGTTTGTCTGTCTGTCTGTCTGTCTGTCTGTCGGTCTGCCTGTCTGTCTGCTCGTTTTTCTTGTGGGTTCGATTGTTTGTTCGCCTTCCCAAAGCAAGCGGAAGGCTTGTCGTTTCCACCCACGAGATGTTTCGCTGATACCGCTTCCTGCGGTCGTTTAAGTATTCTAATTCACTCAGTGCATCTGGAAGTTGCAATTACTTGGTTATTTTTTCATTTTTTTTCCAGACGCTGCGGTACGCTGCGGTATGACTTGAGATTCAGAGGCTTGGACCCATGTTTGGGCCCTTCGGTAGACAGATTCCAACAATGAGTGGTGATGAACCTTCTTCGCGGGGTTCATATTTGGGCGTGACTTTTTGAGGCTATTCGGAGTCCAACTCCGAATTCGAGACACATCTAATTATGTGGGTCCATACATTCGGCGAACGTGAAACATCTCTCCGTTTGGTTGCCAATGTCCCTCCTTTGTCTATGTGTTCTGGGACGTGTTGGTGGTCCAAGTCTTCCTCAGTCCCGGTCGGAAGTGAGGAAGTGAGGGAGGTTCGGGTCTTGTCGCGAGGCAGCCAAGGCGGGGGTCAGTGCCTTCGGCGCCTTCAGCGCCTCCGTGGCTTTCTTCACGGCCTTCCCCAAGCCCTGGATATACCTCAAGCAGG